AAGGGGTCTACTTCATCTATGACCCATCCCTATGGAGTTGGATAGATGACCTCATAAGGAAAAGTTCTGGTCACTGTTTTGTTAAATAATTATATTCTAATATGGATGATTTAATAATTAAACAGTGAATGAGTTTAGGCTGAGTTGCTGATTAGTATCAGTTTGATCTTATGTATCACATTTTTTTGCTTCAAAAACCAAGGACAGTAAAATGTATAGAACTTATGGAATCAGGATGTACTGCAGGGAAGTACAAAATCTTAACTAGCCCTCAAACAGCAGAAATATGCAGTTCTAAATGGAAAACAGTGCTTGCTCTGCATATCCTTGCAGTCTTTTTATTTTAATCACTAATACAAGCCATGGAATCAGGGTGAAGGCTTTTTTGAGTTTGAGTGACAAGAGGGACTCTGGAATCCAAGAGAATTTCTCAGCCTCTGAATAAGAAATCTTGTTTACCATGCTTTCATGAGTTAGGAGTACTGTAGCAGGACCTTTCCCTCACCCAGTGCAGTACACAGCCTACAAAAACCAAACAGCTCTGTAGCATAGCTTGTTAAAAACCTAAAAAAGGAAGCAACAGTATGTAAATGATACTGTAGTACTAGGATTCAGTTTTAAATATAGCTGTATCAGCAAATTTGCTAATTTGCTAATGTAATTAAAATAACTTTTTGTGTACCATTATAATTAGTAATTTTAGTCTGGTATTGTACATCTGCCAGTATAGGCATCTTCTGCATTTTATAAAATGCTGATTATTTGCAGAATTACAGTAGGCACAAGTCTCATACTGCTTCTAGCATATTTCATTGACTGATGCACTGTAACAACTGTCATGAATATGAGCAAGATGGGCAAAATTAAACTGACAATTTGTTTTTTTATGTCTTTTTATGCTCACCTTGTGGTAATATTTCCTTAATCCATCCGTGACTTAACTGTGCACTGTCACTTTATATTCTTCTCATCATCTGCAATTCAGCATGATTCCAGCTACTGCAGGTGGTTAATTCAATAAGCTGTGCACATGCTCCTGAACTAGGAATGCCTCAGCTAGGTTATATAACTTATCTGCAGTGCTGTGTTTTTTTGCGTTAGTCTATCCAGGGTTTCCCCAGAAAAGGGAAGGCTGGCATGTTTTATTAATGCAATGACATTTGTAAATTGCCTCTACTCTGAATGTTCTGGTTGGACTGAAGAAAAGGCTGTTACATTTTTATACCTTTTAACATAATTATGTGTAGTGGACAAGTAGAATTGTAAGCAAGATTCTAAATAGATTTTTATTAATAGAGAATCAGGAATTTATATCCTTGTCTTCTTTGCCAAATGGAACTTGAGAAGAACAAAATATAAATCTCAGCAGTGATGTGCCTTAAAAATGAAGGCACTGTTTTTAATACCATGCTACCTTGAACTGTGCAAATAATACACATTACTTCATTAATTTAAACTAGCTAAAGGTATGTGCGCTTTGAAAAAATGATAAAAACTGCTCTTAAAGAAATTAAATAACTCATCTAAAGTCTTCCGTTAATAAAGTTCTTCAGGTTTATTATATACAATATATATCACAAATGTGCAAAGACTGCAGCACAAATCTAAAACCATAAAAGGCTCAAGTATTAAGATGCTCATGCAAATGCACACATTTAGCTGTGTATTATGAAGTATTTACTTCTTGATCATCTTAGATCAATATTGTAGTAAAAGAACACTAAATAAAAAACAGACACTATTAAAATAAAATATCATAGTGAATTAGTATCTTATTAAGGAATGTTTAAGTAAGCATTTTATTAGAAGTATGCTTTTGAATGCTTTAACAATTTTCAATGTAAAACATTTTATACAGCCTGCAATGATAAAGCTATAAACATGTCTAAGTGCTTTTTTATATTGAAACATGAATTTTTTATTAAAAACGTTGTTTCTATAAACCAAGTTTGATTGCTTTTTTGTACGAGATGTATATTCTCTTTTTTTTCTGTCTGGCACTGTATGGCATGTCAATTTCACTCTTCACATTCCTCCTCAGGCCAGTTTTTTGTTTCCTCCCGTGACCCTAAAGGAGATGTTTTCAATCCACCACCTGCTTGTCATAACTTACTGCTCTTTCATATAACAGATTAGACAAATTGACTCTTTTCTCATACTGTATTCCACTGGAGTGCACAAAATGTGTCTCTCTGTAGCTTTTAATTCAGTGTGATTTAGCTAATGTTATTTTTATTCTTGTTTCCGGTATTTCATTAATTTTGTGGAATTGTCTAATATTTACTGCAAACTGTTTGCAAATGTTTGAACATTTTGTGTTTGAACAGTACTGCCTGTTTCTTCAAAAAATATAGAAATTTGTCCAGGTGGAAATGTGATTATTTTTTAAATCAACCCCTTTTTCTGTTTTGTAAAATAGAACAGGAGCACCTGCAAGCAAACATTTTGAATTGTATCAGTCTTTAATAACAAGCAGTCTTTCCATCCATTTCTGATACCAATGTGAAAGCCAACAAATTGGAAATTCTCTGCTCACATTTCTACATTAAATGGAGTTTTTGATTAGAAATTCAGGAGGGAAATCAGATATTAATATTACCCAATTCCACTGTCCTAAGTATATGTAAAGTACATACAGTATAGCCTCCTGAACTTCCATTTGTGTATCTCTCTCACACCCCTCCTAACAACCTATCTTCATCCTTGTAGCAACTCCTAAGCTCATTCCTCATGAAAATGAGGGGGGTTTCAGTCAGCCTCATCTTTGCTGTTAGTTGCTTTCCTCCAGGAGTGTCAGATCCCCTTAACTTATCTCTTATCCAGAATCCTAAGGTTTTCAGCACTTACAGTTGTATGACCTTCAGACTGGCCCTCCTTAGAACAATTTCCCTGAACATTAATTTTTTTTTCTAATTTAACTGCAAATATTTTGCAAAAAAAACTGGCTTTCTGATATTTATCTATGTAAATGAAGGCCTTTGAGTAATACTGTACATTATTTTAAAATAATAAATATATTTATATTAGAGCAAACTAGTCCACAACACAAATGTAATATTGGTATTACAAATTATAGGTAGTAAAGAGGCCTATTAGCAACATGGGAAAAATGTTTGCATATATTGCCTATAAACACAATAATGACTGCATTTAAAAGAGACAACATTGTGTTTAAATAAGATAACATTATGTCTAAATGCAAAAATGATCATTAGATGCTGTATCTCGTAATAATGCAATATTATCTCATTTAAATGCAATTGTTTTCTCTGTGGTGCTACAGTAACTGGTCTTTTATAAATGTTTAATATTTTTAAATGTTTTAAAGTTGTACATATAGACACTGCACAGAATGATTTTCAGTCAATAATAATAGGAACAGAATTTAATTAAATCAGAAATAAACTCTCTAAAATTGAGGTATAAAACTTAAATATTTATTTATTTCAATTTATTTGCACAGGACTTTGAATGCCAGCACATTTTTGATTGTTGTCCCTTTTGTTATATTTCCCATTAATATCTTTTAAGAAACATTAAATCTCAAATCATAATTGTTCTTATATGCATACCAAATGGTATATGAATTTTCTAGGATATATGGAATTGCCTACAAATATGGAAATATACTAAAACTTTCTTACAGAATGTTACGCATTCCACTCGCGCTGCTCTTCCTTCTTGCATTCCCACGCGTTCACCCTGTAAAACAAGCTCACGCCGCAAGTAAACGCCAATCACCTTTCTCTCCCGTCTCTATTTTAGTTCTCCTTTTTCTTCACTTCCCCGCTCACTATTGCGGATTCTCTTTGAGTTCCCTAGTGCGTGTTTACTTCTTGCTTGTCTCTGGTTCTCGATCTCTTAGCCTGCTACTCGTTTTCGGTTTCGCCTTGTGATTTGGAGTGCTGCTTCCTCGTTTGTGCTGCCGTGTTCTGAACTACTCGCCTGCTTCCTGGATTCGATTTCGCCTGGTTGTTTTTGGATTGTTGCTTCCTCCTTGTCTCTCTGTGTTCCGACCTACTCGCCTTCCTCCTGGTTTTCGTTTTTGCCTAGCGTATCTGCTTTGTCTTTCTCTTGGCCTGAGTCCTGCATAGGATCCTATTGCCCTAGCAGCCTTATCTTACACAGAATAAACAGTATGAATAATAAGGGTTAAGCATTTGGTGAAGAACTTGGAAATACACATAATCTGAAAGAAATCAATGTGAATTTGAAAAGAATTAATCATTGGTTAATTGGTTCTTCATAAGAATGTGAATATTCCAGTTAGCACTACTTCAAAGTAGTGTACAGTATTCCATTCAACAAACAAATATGCCTATTTGATCATGATAATAAAATAAGAAATGGGGTATTGCCAAGTTATACAGTATGTGCTGGCATTCAGTGGCCTCTGCAAAAATGAACATTTGTGATGTATCTCTCTATGTATGAATCTAAATTTAGTTTCCACTCTCCTTAAACATATAGAGTAAAATCAACAGAAATCTTCTGTTTCCAAACATGACTACAAATGTTTTCAGTGGAAGTGAATTTTCTGTCTCATCTAGATGAATAATAGATATTTTGCTTCAATTAAATTTGTAAGATGTTTTCAAAAATACAATGCCTTCTAACATCTGGGTATTGTTCCTGCAGCACCTAGAAGTAACAACTAGAAAACAGGTGAGACTATAAGTAAAACTATTTTAATTAAAGATAATCCAAAAATATTATTTAAAAAATAATTTCTTTATCTTTCAAGATGCATAACATTTCATTATTATACCTGTATAGTAAAATAAATGGAAAAATCCAAGTATGATGTGTAAATACAGTTAGGCAGAAACTCTTTTCACTCCAAATCTCATAAAACTAAAATATAAGGTTTTGGAGATTAAACATCTAAACTATTTTAACTAGTTCTGTTTTTCTATTAGCATTCCATTTGTGTATTGTTGCTATTCACTGAATCCATTCTAAAATGTCAAGTCATAAAACATGCATGGAAAGTTGTATCTTAAATATGTAGTATAAGGGTCTCTATTGTCTGTAGTTATTATCAAAACCCAATAAACATCCTTACTTGAAAGCAGCTGAAAAAACATTAATAAAACTCATAAACTGCACACTTAATTAAATATACCATACAGAAGAAAAGTCAAAACCCCATAAATGTAAATGGAGCATAGAAAACTGCAATGCAGTACACAAACACATGGTAGTATTGCTGAAATTGACATATATACTTTATTTTACAATAGTGCTTTATTAGTTACACCACAATGCACAGACCGGTCGAACACTATACAAAACAATATGTCTAAACAATATTCATTCAGAAATTTTGCTTTATCAATTTGCTTTATTCTCTTAAAGAGTAACAGTGCTATTGGACAACAGAATGTGTAATATTCTTGAATGTATTGGCTGGAAATTAGTCTTCCTTCCATCAAACTCACTGTTGCTGTTTTAAAATCATGAACTGAATATAGTACAGTATGTTCAGAAATCCTTCAGATGGTTTAGCTCTGGATTGCCAACTGGGCAGCAGAAAGGGACATTAGTCTCATAATGTATAATGACAGTATTATTCAGATACATACATCATTTTACAATTATTGCATGTTCAGATGTTTTTACCAGTACCCCTGTATCACAAATTTAGAGAGGTTAAAGGCTTCACTAAACCAATGCACATGGTTTTTGAAATATGAAATATTTATGAAATATTCAAGTCGTTATCAAAGGATATTTAAATAAAGTTTGCAAACCAATCCAGTTCTTCTTTCATACTGGTTCCATTAAGCTTAATCCATATATTTTAGTTCATTGCCTCTCTGTGTCCAAAATCAGAGGTTCATTCTGTCATATATGCAAAACTACCTACTGTATTTATATGTGTATGATCATTTAAACTACATGTGAAATCTGTAATTTTTTATGTAGACAAAATTAAACAAAGCACATGCACAGCCAGCAAATCTTAAGTATTACATCAAACTAAAATTTAATAAAAATACATGAATGTTTTTTTCTGGAAATAAAACCAGATCATGTGCAGGGTCCATTCTGCTTTTTATAGGCAATTTATACACATTCTAATTAAATAAAAGATTTAACACAGTAATGAAAGAAGTATCTCACTGTCTTAAATGAACATGTATTCAGCTTGTACAGTATAAAGTACTGTATACTAAACACGTCTTTGATTAGGTAAAAGTTCAGTGTTGGATCTTTTAGTTATGTCGATCAGTATGGAGAAAACTATTAAAGATTAGAGCCCACAGTCTTTTCCTGAGAGATTGTTTGGAATATGTGCCAAAGAAAAACTTCAGATAACATTGAGTGCACAACAGCTGCTTTGTAACTTAAAGGTGAGACTAAACAACATCTTCAATCTATATGTTAAATCATGAACACTGTATGAACAAATGCAACATACTACTGAAGGTTGGTTAAATACCTGAGATTCTGCATATGTTACTGCATAACATAGAATAAAAACTATTTTATTTTCAACATATTTTCTTGTTTTTTTCTTCTCTCTGAACTGACAAGAAGTGACCATTCATTTTTGGAGTGATTTCCATGACAATGATACTGTTCCTCCAAAACAAACACTCAAAAACAAAGCATATGGTTCATGTTTTTAGGAAAAACTACATATTTTTGTCTTAAACTGCAAAATACCCAGAATATTTTGTATTATTTTTCTCTTGCTCAGAAGTCACTGAATATAGTTGGTTATCAAACATATCTTATTATATTTAAATAGCAAAAACTGCATTGTTAAAGTAGAATTTGCTTCCTGTGATCCTATTTTATGAAAGCAGATGGACATCTCAAGTAGGAAAGATTCAGTTCACATGAGATGTTCTTGTTAAATCTACTGTGTATTAGCTAAAAACTCACTGGCACAAAGAACGAAGATGACAGTTAAATAATCAGAACATTAACAGAGATACGTAATATTATATTGTATGACAAACATTTAGGTTTTCCTAAAACTACCTGTCCCATATGTGAAGTTAAGAATCAGCAAATCACTTGATGGGGGTTACAATCACCATATTCAAATCCATTCATGCTGGTCACCTTTCTAGGAATGGTATTAAAATGATAAATTGTCTACAAAATGCTACTCTCACAACCTGACAAAGTCAACAATAATTGAAAAGCTAGTGTTCTCATAATGTGGAATCCAATTCTCTTCTTTTTCGAGTGGCTCAGTACGGAGAAGGGTTTGTCACAGAGAGGTGACAAGTGGAATCAGCACACAGAGAACGAGAGACTGTGTCATCCAAAAGACACAATTCTTTATCCTGAAAGTAGCCAATGGTGATTCCTGCACAACCCATACGGAAATCTTCCCTATTTATCTCATTATTTACAGAAATCACTGTAGTTTTTCTTACTGTGTCTAAGTGTAAAACTCTCAATTAAAGAAAAAAACTGTTGTAAAACTCTAAATGTCAGACACAGTATATCAGGCTAACATACAAAATGTGAAATCTGTTTAATGGCCTACTCAATTTTTGGGATACTACTGTCTCAAATAAAGACATCTTTCAAATGCTAATTGCTATCCATGAAAACTACTCAAATAATGTTTTGTTTTGAGAGAATTATAACTCCTTACAGCAAATGACCTTGTCCATGTGAGAATTTAAGGAAAAATACTGATAATCATCACATCTCTCCATAACAGGATGTGAAGAAACAGTAGCAGTTTGCAACAATGCAAAGCAGACATATAAAGTTGTTGGTTATGGTCAAGGACAGCTATGAATACATACTGATATCCACAAATTAAATTGAAGTAATTATAACTTACAATGTCATAAACAAATGTCTGAAATGGTTCCTGGATATCCAACTAAATCTGAGGAAATCAGGGCTGCTGCCTCAATTACTGTTTTTGGACTGAAAATCTGTAAGTTAGTTAATATACTGTATTTGTCTATTTGATATTACAGAAAATGTTGAATACATTTTCACATTACTGTACTGCTGGTGTGAATTCACTGTTTTTTAGACCAAGTAATTGTGCTACAATGTGAGCAGATTCTTTGTGAATAGAAACTATACATGTGTCCATGTGCACATACATATCTAAGACATGTTCTGTAGTGCAATAGGAACACTGTGAACATTGTTGTGCAAAATACAAAACTTGTAATAGAATAAATATGCTTTTTCAGAGGAAGATGGAATTTGATGCACCTGTCAAGAACCACAAATTCATGTACCTTGATGAAATGAGCTTCAATCAGGACAAATGTTGGTGCTGTGATTCAGAATGCTACTGAATAGCCTGACAGTCTATGTGCAGAGAAAGCAGGAAGAGAACATAATGATGTGCAGTGCCATATTACAAAATGGTATTGTGGCACAAAGTCCTGTGCCCAAGGGCATACAATGTAGCCCATCTGCTGTATTTTCTGGATTTGCTGAACAATCACCTTGCCTAGCCAATGAGTCAATTACATTTGTCATGCTCTGGGATAATGTAAACATCCATAACACATTGGTAGTACAAGTGTGACTCACAGCACATTCAGAGTTCATCATTATGTTCTTGACACCCAATTCACTATTTCTCAGGGAATTATTTTTGGCCTGTAGGTGGAGGGTGTATGACCGCTGCTATTATAATCAAGCCACCCTCAACTACTCCATGGATGAAAAATAAAACAGAGTGGAGCAGTGGTAATGGCAGATAAGAAATTCAAAAGTACTTTTTTCAACTGTGCCATGCTACTGAGGACAGTAGATGTAATGTAGATGAAAATGTATCACCACATGTTGAAAAGAGATTCACCCAAAAAACATTAATATGGTGCATAACTTGCATGAAAATACATGCTATATATTATTTTTATATCTTAAATCATTTAAAATGTTTTGTGCACAGACTTTTGGAAGTGTTTGCATTCTGATTTTATATTGCTCTTATTTTGTGATTGATATGAAAATCTGAGAATTCATATGTTTTTTTCTTTAGTATGTCCGCAAGCAGCTGCTACTGCTTCTGAATAAAGAAATACAATGGTAAGAAACTGTACATCCCTAGCCAGAGCTGACTAAGAAGACACAGACCATCATGTATGTTACAATTGAGGTAATAGAAAATTACTTGAAGAAAATGTGACTTGAAAGTGTGAGTGCATAAAGAGCTTTCCAAAATGTAAAAAACCCATAGCTTTTAGTGCTGGCTTGGATTTCAGATTCAGACAATAGAACATTAAACTCTACAGACAAATCTAACAGCACCAGATATTTAACAATAAGGAAGAAATATACTGTTTTGTATAAATTCTAAATTTGACCAGGCCTAAAACAATAGGGGGTCAAGTGCACAGATAACAAGGTGTCTTTCCAAAGCTGTGTCCAAACACAGAATAAATAAGAGTTCTTGTTTTCATATTTCTGTGTGGCATTCAACTGCTGATGTACCTTTTACTGCTGCAGAAATTGAATAAAACCTGTGGAAAATACAAGAATATATCAAAATCAAACATCCAAACATTATTTGTGATAGTAGTATTAGTTGTTATAATACAATTACTTTCAAAATGGACCTTATAATCAAAATTTCCTTTGCTTTATTATCTTTCCTTTAAAAATAGAATGACTATTATGATATACAGATATTAATAATGAGCATTATTAAATAAACACATTATATTCAAGCAGCAATGCAAGTATAGAAAACCAAGAAGGTCAAATGTTTGTTTTACTTTACTACTTGACCTACAGTACATGAAAGTAAATATTGTTTTATTATCTTTATCACATCATTTTGGATTAAATCAATTAATTTTGTGCTATTTTCTGTAAGGCCTTAAATGTAATTATTTCCTTTATAATCATTAAAATATTGCACAAAACAAAAATGAAATATAAATTCTAACATAATACAATGTATTATGGCATTGTATAAATAATGTAATTCAACACATCTCCGTAATGCCACATTCCTGCCATAGACATGGCTGTTGTACCCTTGAGCAAGGTACTAGTTTCTCTAGGCCATTCAGTGGGGAACAGCACTGGAAGGTAAATCCCATCCAGTTAAGTTCTCTCTAGTCCTCTTTATGTAAAACAAGCATAAGATCTGACCCAATGAATTGTGCTTTTCCCTCTGCCCTTGATTGTATGGATCCATATTTGGAGTACTGTATGCCCTTTTTGTAGCACATTTGAAGAAACTTCTCCTAAAATATATTAACTCCATAATAAGTTTAGTATTAATTTGTACAAAAAAGGGTGAAACATAAATTAAAATGTCATGTTAATTTAATAAACAGATAAATCTGATGTCCGAAATTTTAAATTGTCAATATGTTGTTAATTTTGCCTAATTCATTAAGTTTCTAAAACTCAAAAAAATGAAATTAAAAATATATTTCTTGCATGCTTTTGCACAGTGAAAATGTATTTAATAAAACTAACATTTTATAAAGAGGGCTGTTTTTTCTTACAAGGAAATATGGCGCTACTAAATATTCTGTTTGCTTTGACATTTTTACATCTACAATTTAAAACGAAGTACAGTACCTTGAGGTGTTATAATATTTCCGTTTCTTGAAGGTTCTAAAGCAGGATAGTTTCACACAGGTATTTTTACAATCAATAACCTGGTAAATAATAGGATTGTACATAGCTGACGATTTGGCAAGCAAGGTGGGCACTACAGAAGCTGGAATAGGAACTGAGTCAGGTTTCCCAAACGCAGACCACACTGACACAACAGCATATGGGATCCAGGCTATCAGGAATCCTGCACAAATCAGCATTGCCACCTAGAGAATACAAATAAAATGACAGGTTTTATCATACAGAAGGCAGTGTGGTGTATGTATTAATCAGACAGGAAGAGGACACATGATCATTTAAAAAAATATTTATTTGAATTACTATTCTTATTGTATTATCTCTCTTATTCAAGCTGGAAACAGAATAAAAAGTAATTGCGTCTGTGGATACATATAACTCAGTGTTAAATACTACAGTACACAGATGAAACTTCCAGACAGAAAATTAGAGATACATTTTTCACTTATTATAATTACCTGTAGACCATCCTAATTATTTTCTAGGTTTCTTTTTTTCTATTTGAACAGCTCCATCTTTTCAGTCTGTACACAGCACTTTTATTTAGCAATTTTCAGCAAAAACATAAGAAATAAAAGTTGCTTTAAAAAAGCTAATTAAATCATAAAGGTATGAGTCGTATTTTGTTATACTTTTCTTTAAAATAATCTAAAGAAAAAGGCTGTTTCTTGCATAACATACTGTACTTCTAGGTTTCCTCAGCTCTTTGATCTTATAACCTATATTGTGAAAATCTTCCTTAAAGCTGTTCATACCTATGGCCTTTCAATTTTTAATTATAGGTTAAAACAGTAAAGGAATACTGGAATAATGCACTTCTTACTACAAACTTCTTACTCTTTCTTTGATACTACTGAATACAAATTAGTACAGACTGAATCAAAGGAAGCATTAAGAAGAAACATGCTGAGTACTGTATATTGAGTACTACGTTGTAAGTATTATTTTTTTAAACAACATTAAAGTATTTAAACTATTCAAACTCTGAAGGTAGCAGGAGTGCAGTAAGAATTTTTTGCTGCGCTGTTGTATATTTAGTAGGATAGTACAGAATATGACATCATGTATATGAGTAAACCCTCAGTAAGTACAGTAACTGATTCCTTATTATTTATCTAACCCAATTTCCAAACCAAGAAAACAATTACTAATAATCTACACACTAAATCATAAAAATATAGATTTAAAAAAAAAGTAGAGAGAAAACAAATGGATATTAATGTATGTATCTTAGGAAAAATGCTCTCCTATGGTCTTTTCTTTTTTTAACAAAGTTTTTAAGAATTAAAAGATGCAATTGATTTTGTTACCTTTGTAAGTTTTATTTCCAGAATATGGCTATTTTGATTCCTGGTGTCAAAGTGGGCAACTTCTTTGGCTGATTCTTTGACTTTGAAAATAATCTTGACATAGGAGAAAACAATTATTGCAGTAGGAAGGACGAGGCAGAAGAACAATATTGACATCACAAAGCTCTGCCCTGAAAGTGAAGCTTGTGCAAGCCACCAGTCCAAAGTGCACGATGTGCCAAAAGGTTCAGGTGCATAATTCCCCCATCCTATCAATGGCATGGTGGCCCAAAATGCAGCATAGGACCAAATAAAACCTAAGCACAGAAAGGCATGGTTCCTCTTCAGCCATGTACCTGAAAAATAATTTTAAAAGAAAGCAACCAATATTCAGACTGAAAGTAAGAGTTCCTGAGTAATATGTATTACTCAAATATTTTGGATGGAAAGAGAGGGAACACTGTTTATTCTTTGTCAGTATAATTCCTGAGAAACTAGAAACTAATATTCTGGCATCTCTGAACAGACAAAAATGTCTTCTAAATTAGAAATAGTAAAATCTGAAAGTCTTTAAGGAGAAATCATGATCATATCTCTATAAGAGAAAGCTTTCATCCATTAATCACAGAGTTCTCATTCAGAAGTACCCTTTTTCCTAAGGCTGTTATTTTTATTTTTTTGGTTTGTTAATTTTTCATTAAATTTATTCATTTCATGAATTAATTATGAATTATCAGTTACTTTTATTTTATATTTTCCTCACTTTGGGATTAACAACTTCCAAACCCATTTGAAGAATTGTGACCACAGACAGCTAATAACTCATTCAAGAACTCACCCACCAATCTCAGGAAGTTAAGCAATTACTAGTTAAGCAATACAATCATCTTCATTATTTTGAATCTTTCAGTTTATGATATAGGATAGTTTTCCCTAATGAACATGGCTGTTAGCCAAAAGCTGACAAATACAGTATTTATTTGCTGGTAAATACAGTATGTATACATGTTAAACCTAAAAAGATAAACATCTTTCATTAATAGAACAAGTAATCGGTTTATTCCATGCTGAAAAGAGAAGAAAGAAACCGATTACTTGTTCTTTTGCAGCCTACGCATGCTGACGCAGCTACTCACCGAAACTACTACATCTTTCATTAATGTTTTACAAACACTCACATTCAAGTCATGTGTACTATAAATAAATATAGTAGAAATAACTTATAAATAATAATTTAAAGTACATATGTCCAACGAAAAGTAAAAATATTTCAGTTTGGATGCATACCGTATCTTAAATGGCAAATCTTTAAGTATCGATCCAGGCTGACTACAGTCATTGTGATGAGGCTGCCACACCCAAAGAAAAAGCCAGCCCAGCCATAAAATCGACAGCCTTCCATTCCAAACAGCCAGCGGTGCGAAAAACTTGAGATAACAAAGAAAGGTTTTCCTGTAACTATAAAAAACAAATAAGACATGCAGCAACATATCAACACTACAGGTTTTGATTTCTCCACTCATTTGGCAATGTGAGACAGTGACTTAGTTATGTGAATACAATTGCTCATTAATGGTATTTAATCTGAAAAAATATATGTGGCTTCTAGCTACATTTAGATATAAAGAAACATTTCAATAATGTGAGCATTTGTGTTTCGGTAAACATATGAACACTTTTAATGTTACCATCTATGAATCCAGTCTGAAATTAGTGTTTTTCAGCAATTTCCTGTTGCTAATATTGACCATTATTTTTAAGTTGTCACTGAAATAAAATTATTGTATGTCATTGCTGCATCAAAATTGTATCAGCTGCATTGAGGGCTATGGTTCTCAGGGTTTCAAAAAAGTTTTTAACTGCATCCAAGGTGATTACATTTAATGTGTATATGGGCAACTCTAATATACGATATACTGTACTGAATGTAGTGTCTGTGCCTGTTTTGGAACTTTATAAATTTCATATCTAATCAAGCTTTTGGAGGAGGAAGGTCATAAAACGATTAGGATGTTTACTGATAGGGTATGTATCAATATATAAATAGGGTATGTACAAATTTTATATTTTGTAAAGGAACAAGTGAAGGTTTATTTCATGCTGAAAGGAGAAGAAAAGAAACAATGTTTTGGTTGTGGAGTCTTGTGGAGAGAGATGGATTCACAGCCAAAATATTGTGTTTTTCTTCTCTTTCCAGCATGGAATAAACCTTCACTTGCTCCTTTATAGGCTACACATGCCGACACAGCTACCTACTAGATAACAGACACTAGATAATAATTATGACAGTAATCTCAACCAAAAGCATATGGACAAACATTATGGTTTAGTGTTTCATCTCTAACTAGGGCTGATCCCCAGATCAAGAATTAACAAGAACACTTCATGAGCTATTATACTGTATGTTACATTTAATTATAATTAATAAAGCTGTGAAGACAGAGATGAGCATTTTAAAAACATACAGAACATTATTCCATCAATAAACACCTTAACAGTATTGCACAGAAAGCACTGAAACAATAATAGCATACAAAATAATAAACACTCAATGTCTATAAATATACTTTTTCTGTTTGGATAATAATATTTTCTAAAACTCTTCATGTAATAAATATTTTCACACTACCATATTATTAAGCAGCATTAAGCAATTAACCAATTTGAGGATGATGTTATGAGAATGTGATATGCCTGTAGGAAATGTTAGTGGTCACATCCCTTTTTTTGCCATCCTTGTTATCTCATAATTTTGAAATGCTAAAAAATATGATCACATAAGAAATAAGTGCTTTTGAGTTTGTATGTACTGTATTTTCGAAGAAAACTAAAGAAATGGTTTCCAGTTTCACTATACAATTATTCTGAATGATGCACTTACAAATTGGTTTCATATCACGTTTCAATGACACAGCTCAGTGAAAAAAGGAGGGAATGCACACATGAAATGTCACTGGCATGAACATTGGAATGTGAAGTCACTGGGTAATTCAGAGTCCATCCATCCACCATCACCAAATGTCTGCAAGTCTGCCATAGCTTAGCTCTGAGACTTCTCAATTTCCATGCTGTGTCCAAACACTGGAAAATGAAGTTATTTAAAGAGTAGGTACTGTAATGTGCTCTGTGACGTCCTCTGGATCAGATATAAAAAATACAGTGACAAGCTCTCAGGAAAAAGGCTGTGAACATGCTCAAAACATTTAGCCACACCTACAAAGAGGCTTGTAGACGATGCAAGAAGTCATGGAGCAGTTCATCTTATATTTGAAATTAGTTTTAATTTATTGTGAAAAAGGCCATTTTCTGAAGAAAACCCAAGAAGACGCACACAAAGTGCCTCTTCCATGATACTCTGAGTGGTTTTCAGTAAGGTTTTATAATCTAAGTACAGGTCCAGCCACAATCTAATGTTGCCATAAATGGCTGTTTTTAAGAAATGTTTGAGAATTTAGAAATGTTTTTTGGTATACAAAAAGCAGCTATACAAAACATTTCCACAAACCTCGCAATGGCTATTTCTGATAAGGCTAATCCTGCCTTTCAGTTATTTCTGAAATGTTGCATACAAAAGGTGTCTGCCTTTCTCTGCAAAGAAGAAATTTAGATTTCACTCAGGTCAGTTCAGAAATGAACCCAGATCAGGTCAGGTCCTACAGACTAAATAGCATAAACCTGCTTATGGTTTTGAATTCAAAACTATTAGGAACAAAAAACATGATGAGAAATCTGACTAATGCTAGATGAGGCTATAGTTTAAACAAAGTGTCATGAACCTGTTACACACTTCTGTGTGGGCTTGGACTTTTTTTAAAACCAAAAATGAATTTAAATCGTGGTTTAGGAAATTAATGAAAAATACAAGATTTTTGTCATTAAAAAAAATTCTTCTTCTTCGCAGTATGGTTACCCATGGGCTATATATTGTATGTAACGTGTCTATCTCTGCTCAGCCCCTAACAGGATCAAATCACTGTCTGTCTCGGGCTCAGGACTACCTAGCACCATTCCCTTGGCAGCAAATAAGTCTGAAATGCTGGAAGACCTGGTCTTCTACTGCAGCCTTATTCCACACTGTCTTGGTTTCAAGGAGATGATGTTACTTCTGTAAACAAGGTCACTGCACTGAGCCCTGTCAATATATTGTATTGACCAGTGGGACATAATACCATCAGATTCTAAAACCCTATAGAGCTGACAACAGGTCCATCATAATGAAAATGGTCCAAAAACAAAGTAGTCCCAATAGCACATGGTTATGGTATTTAAATTACTAATTAAATGCTTTTGTAAGTTACTTTATTAGCATGTTATTAACAGTGGGGACATGAACATGAATTAAATGCTTTTAATTTGTTAAAAGTACATTATGCACATTATCTCTGACCCATTCATATTGTGCTCCAGCACCCCGTGACTTACAAATTAAGCCTGCAAGACTCCTGATATTTAGCACGTTATAGTGACCTATAGATGCAGTCATTTAAAATACACTAAGTGTCATGACAATATCACGAACAGTACCGCGTCTCACCATTTTAGTTTTTTTCAAATAATCTGATGCAGGACTGCATTACTCTGTAAAACTGAGGTGGCTAGATGTATCAAAGCTGTGTATAGATCTCACATAAATCTTATTTTAATAATAAACATTAAAAAGTATTTTAACCCATTATTGTTTTTTGCAGTAATCATAATATACAGTAACAGATTTTTTATTTTCTTCATTACAAATTCTAAAACAAACAGATTCTACAATAAATAATTTTAGTTTGGATTTTGATTGTAAAATATATTTTACATATTGGCTTTGGAAATATACTAATTTTAAGAGCAAGCAAACGCATAAACAAAAAAGTTGTCAGATGTTATTTGAATTAGAAGGCACACTTTGCATTGTTTGCATTGTATTTCATTGCAATACAATTGTTTTGCTTTCCAGCTGACACAAGTCTGCACTATATCAAGGTTTTTCTTTAAGGAACCAAAATTATGGCCACAGAATTCAAGCGGGCCATTGAACTTAGTGGTGTGTGTCAGAGTGATAAGGTAGCAAAGAAGAAAGCTAACAACTGTTGAGTAACATATACAAAATCCTACATTTGACTAATAACATTTAACTCCTTTAGTCAAATTATAGGCAAACAAGTTTACATTCCCACCACTAGTGTCATCTTTGACCTTAATGACATTATTTGGTTACAAACCAAATATCACATTGTCACAAACCAAAACTGAGCTGTATGTCATCAAAACCTTTAGCATTTACAGTGAATGCTGCAAGAAGAGGCTTAAACCAACCTGTCTTACTCGTGCTCAAGAAACTACAATTTTCTAGCCAGGACACCACAGCCCCGACCCTTCTTCCACATTGCTGACCATTCTTATTTTAATATACAAGTCAAATGTAACAACTGTGTCCACAGCTGTTCCAAATGATAGACAATCAACTTCTTTTAAATGGGAACTGCACTCCCAATTTCTCAGACTGGTTGTTAACCGGTAACAAAATAAATTCATTGACAGTATAAAAAATATATAAATTAAATTAATCAAAATTGTGAACTTTGTAAAAGTACTACAGATGCAGCCATTCAAAGTGCACGGCACAGACACGTACCGGAGGTACGTGATTGGTTGACCGACAGGGGCACTCGTGGTGCATTGGTCGGTCATAGAAAGATTTAAATGTCTTTACTGTGCCCATTTTAGTATTGAATATTTATATGGAATTTTACCACTGAAGGGAAATCTTAGTAGCTGGGCATAAAAAGAATAGGAGCATAACGCATGTGAAGGCCATAAATGATATTAATTTTGGAACATAAACATACAGTATTACAGTATATGGCTGGTCTCGGTACTTTAAAGAAAAAATACACACCAGTATTCCATTTCTCCCTAAACATTTTAAGCATCGAAGTCTTTAACATGTGAAATAGCGTGTAAAAAAGAGGTAGTTTTAAGCTTTTCTGCTAATATAATATGGAGTCGCGTATCTAAAGAAATTAATAACGATATAATTATATTTGTGTACTGCGACAGGGCTGTGTAGGGCTGTTTCGCCTCTCTTCATGTAAGTTCCCCAGTAGCCTACTGGTTTACGTGCCTTTTTAGTAACCCACAGGTTGTGTGTTCAAATCCAGCCGGCGCTGTGACTTTTTTTTTAACAAACATTTCTTTGAAAAAATAGAATCGCAATATTATGGACAATTAATTGACTTTTAGATTTCTAAATATCACAACATGATCGAATTTAAGTCATTTTTAATAACAACGAATATTCACCTTCTTTCCTTCTGACAACTGTCCCTGCTTCAGCTTCCTGCTTCTATCGTGTGTGTTTTTTTTTTTCAAATACATTCTGGAAAAGTGTAATCTATACTAAAAAGCTGTAAACCACCTGCTATATAGATACATATTGGCAGCTTTTAACTCCGCAAGTCACACACCAATAC